TGACATCTGGAGGGCCACAGCTTCAGCACATCTGTGTTAAGATTGCCACTGCTTTGCTCCCAAGGAGAGGCGTGTGGAGTTGCTTCATTTGGACCCCAGATCCAGAACAACTGTCTCAACAGGAAGTTCTGCAGAGGGTTAAATAATTCCACCTCTCCACGTGAAGCGAGAAGCCTTGCAACAACTGCAGCCAGCTTGTAACCTGCCCAGAGAGTTACTTTGTCGTCTCTGAAAATGAAATGTCTACTAGAGACAGAGAAAAATGTCCTTGTAATGTTGAATGAGTTGGAACAGAGATGGGACCCGTTGTTGAAAAGGGGCAGGAGATTAATCCAGCCTCAATGGTACTTCATTCAGTTTATGGTGAACCATTCATCAGTGTCACCAAGGAGCGAGCAGATTAGCTGGACCTCAGAGCTTTCCCCTAAAACCAAAGCTATTCTGCTACACCTCTTAAAATGCCGGCAAGACAGGCTCAGTGGATGTAAAGCAAGGCAAGGAGGGCAGGCACAGAGACACAGAGCCAGGCCCACTGTGCAATAAAGGAAGGCAAGCGCTGCAGGCAGCTGAGCTTGGGATGGCAAGGCAGCTGGCTGCATGGGAGATCGGCTGATGGACACCGCCTACCCACCTTGTGCAGGAGAATGTTCCTCTGGAATGGGGTGGGGAAATTTCAGTCCAGGGGCTGAATTCCATTCTGGAGAAGCTTTCACAGGCTGCATCCCAGTGGTGGGGCTGAAAATATCCTCAGTCCACCCCCACCCCCCAAGCAAGCATCACTTAAAGCTCTTGCTGCTGGTGTGCAAGCCTCAGAAGAGGCATTTCAACCTTCTGGAATGGAGAACTTCATAAAAGCTGGAAAAAGCAACCAAAGATCAGTGGTTGGGGGAAGGGAGAGAGCTGGGGAAGGGGCACAATCATCTTAGAAACCAAATTGGGACCCCGACAGAGCCATGTTGGCTCCTCTCCCACACTTGCCGTTCCCCATCCCTGCTCTGGATCATGACTTGGCTTCATTAACTGAAGATAGGAGCATGCAGATCCGCCCCCCCCCCCACCAAAAAAAAAAAATTAAATCAAAAAATAAAAATGGGACAAACTGCATATATTGCATGAGAAATTGCTGACTGGGAGTGGTGGGAAGGAAGCTTGAGGTAAGGGATGGCTGCAGATCAACTCAGCAATATGTCGTTTCTCCTTGTATCCTCCCTCTGTGCCAACCATGTGGCAGTGCAGAGCCCCGACTTCATCATCACAGACTCCTCTCCCCTTTTTCACTCCCCAGGTTCACCATGCCACTGAATTATATTGCTTCTTCCTTGACAGCTATTATAGGGTTGGAGAGGTGGTCTGAATGGTCCCTTACTGCCCAGTGCCTACAATGGTGATGGGATTAATGAGCTTTTCTCATTACATCAGCCCTGAAGATTTCTGCAGGTACTGCCACCAGAGAGGATGCCTTAAGAAAGTGCCTCTTTAGACAGGGACAGCCAGTAACATTCTGGTGTTTTATTGGAAGCTGGAATGGGCCAAGGAGACATAAGTAATGGGTGGAAATGCCTCATCTTCCTTTCCAGGGGGAGGGCAAGTGAGAGCTCTGTGTGCAGCAGGAAACAAGTCTATGCTGGACCTGGGTATGAAAAGGAGAAAGAGAAGTGTTTTTACTCCCAGAGGAGCTATCTAGGTCCCTCTAAATAGCTAAAGGAAATTGTTGGGAGTGCTAATGCTAATGTGAACCCACAACTTATGCTCAGACTGTATGCATAAATACCCTTTCCATCACAGAAAAAGGAGGTCTTCAGTGGCTTCCATCTAATAAACTGAACCCTCAACCCATTAAACAATTCTTCTGGACTCACAGGTTTTAGCAGCAACCAAAGCCTCTTTTACAGCATCCTCAGCCTCGAGTAAGAACATGTATTAATTTTAAGAAGTGCTTTGAGAAGGGCTGCTTTGGTTGCCATGAAAGGCCATGCTGTGTAGAAAGCCATGCACTTTGGCTTGTTTGCTCCAGGGTTTGGAGTGCACCTAGATAGCAGATAATTGGGCACATCAGCTTCCACCTGCTTTCAGTTCTCCTGCAGATATGCTGGGGATACCATGGGGACACTGAGGTTTCTCTCTTCCTGCAACTGCTTGAGGGCAACACCGAGGAGGTGAATGAAGGCACACCTGCCACTGCAGCCTGCTCATGAGTAAGCTGAAGGGACCAATGTTGGCTGCCTCTATGCCTTGCCTTGGGGGTGGCCACTGTGGTGGATGGCATCCTCTCCAGAGGAGACCCAGCAGAACATGGCTTTTCTTTGTTGCTTGCTGCGGCAGCCACTCAGTTGTGACAAGCAACAAGGCGGGAACAAGCCGGAACAATCACTTCAGGGCTAGGGAAGTGATGTGCAGAGGGCACCACCGGTGCTGCCACATGCCTTCTCCTGAAGCCCTGAGTGGAGCTTCAGCAAAAAGGGTGCATAGGAATACACAAACAGAGCAAGTCAGAAGGGGTCTTCCGGGCCATCTTGTCTGACCCCCGGCTCCAGCCGGCTCCGCTCACGACATGCCCACCATGTGGACGTACAGCCTATCCTTGAACACCCTCACTGATGGGGCCTCAGCGACCTCCCGTGGAAGCCCATTCGACACCCTCGGGGTCCTAACAGTCAGGAAGTGCTTCCTGGCATCCAAATGGAACCTTGGCTCCCTGAGCTTTGCTCCGTTGGAGAGCGTCCTGCCTTCCTCTGCAGGGGAAACAGGTCTCAGGTGATGGCAGCTGCTCAAAGCCCTATGGTCCAAGCAGCTCTGTAGACTTTGGGGCGTCAACTGGGCTTATTGTGTCTCCTTGGTTTGGATGATGTGGCAACCTCAGGGCCCAGGGTTGTTGAGGTAGCCACAAAGAATTGTGGGGGGGGGTGTGGCAGGTTTGAACGACATACTCGTACTAAGCCACTGTAGTTTCCAATCCATGTGTGGCATGTTGTGTTGTGTGAACCCAGTCATTATCTGCTCCACTTTAAAGGATACCCACAGATACAAGGAGATGGTAACAGCTGAACATACCTGGACTGGACAGTGGGAAAAGGTTTCCTGGTTAAAGGAAATGAGTAAGAACCACAGTGAAGAAAGCTTGACATTTCCATGCAGATGGGCAGGCACATTTTGCAAACCATAACTTCATGAGTATTTCCTTGGGCAATTTTATGAGAACGTGTCACCTTTTTCAAGAAATTGGCTGCAAGTAATCTACTCACCTTTCCTCCTTCCTGAAACATAATTGCTACAGGCTCACAACTTTCCCACATCCTTAAAAGCAAATCAGCACAGAGGTCTCTTTGGAAAGAGATCAAATCTCCTTTTTTCTCCAGGAACTGCTTCCTAATACTTGCAAGAAGATGTGCTATGTATTTATGAAGCACCAGTACACTTTGTGCTATAATTATACATTTGCACAATAGCCTTTCTAGGCTTAACATGGCAGGTAAGCAGTCTTCATTTTGTCTGCACGTTCCTTTCTAAACAAGAAAGGAAGAATAGAAAACTGCATGGGCTTTGCTGAATTTTTGTGGTTGTTGGTTTTCTTACGGAAAATTGAACTTTTGAAGATTAAGGTTTTAGGTTTTTTTGTTAAAACAGTAACAGCTTTTTAAATTTAAACCTATTTAGTTTGAAATTGCGTGCCATTTCCTCATGGCAATTCCCATCATGCTCTGCTTTTCATCCCTTTTTGACCAAGACATCAACTTGGAATGCTCACCGAACAATACATAAGCAAGACCGCAGAACGGTCCAGAGAGCATATCATATGACATCACACCCGAGAAAGGATGCTGTGAGGCATGATGTCACCATGCTCCAGTAAATCAAGTTACAGGGCTCGGCACAGAAAGCTATCACTCAGCCAGCAGGATATTTGTTATTCATGCTAACTGCCCCGTGCCTGAGTGCAGGGCTGCTTCTATTAGAAGCCGATGGATGAAACTCAGTCAAATGGTGAGAATGGACGTGCTGAACAGCTTGAGACAGGCTTCCCTAATATGGTGCCCTCCAGATGGGTTGGACTACAGCTCCCAGGATTTGCTGGCTGGCTGGAGAGCACCGCATTGGGTGAGAGCTGGCCTAACATGCGATCCTTTGTTCCGATTTTGATGTCATGTAAAATAAAGGGCGTGCCTCTTCAGAACAGGGAAAATACCTTGCCTGTGTAGCTCCCAAGCTCCAGAGAAACGCCCACAACAGTGGAAATAAGCAGAAATGACACGAGCCGGTCCCTTCCACAAGACCACCTTTAATAGCACTGTTGAGAATGAGGAAGCAGGGAAAGTCAGAATGGCAACTGAGGCCAACCTCCCCCATCCTGAGACACATGTTGCATTACACGCCAATCGGAACAAGACAGTAGCTGTGGCTGATGAGTGCCAACGGGGCCGGTGTGTTTGTGGGTGCCTGTGTGTGAGGAGGAGGTGGTGGCGGTGGTCTGTGGCGGGAGATGAGATGAGCCATTTGGTTGGAGCCAGCTCAACCCGGCTGCCCAGGAGCTGGCTGGGGCCAGGTTCTTGGCTGAGCTCGGAGACCCTGTCACAGGTTTAAACAAAGACAAAAGGGGACGGTGGCCCTGGACGCCGGGCCTTTCCTTGTTTCTACTTCAGCCTGTTGTACTGTTAAGTAATGGTGAACTCTTTTGGGGTGGGGGAAACGTCTGTGCCGTGGCCTCCTCTTTTGTCGTGGAAAAAAGTAACAGCTGTTGGACAGACACGGCTTGTAAATAAAAAGAGGGAGATATTGCCATCAAAAGGACTGGCATGCAGGCTTCTTTTGAACAGTCATCGGCAGTCTATGAAACAATGGTTCCTTGGTTGTCAGGTCTGTACAGTTCAAAAATTGAGATGTGGCATCCGCTGGTGGAGAGAGCCTTGCGCCTTCCCACATCCTCCTCCTCCTGCCCTCAACAGGTGGGCAGGGTGACGCAACTGAGTCCAAGGCATCTCTTGCTGGGTTTTGGCAAGAAGAGAGAGAAAGAGAAGAGTTGGATGCATAGCGAATTCCTCAGCTGTTCCCCCACTCGGCATGGTGAACCTGAGCATGATTCCCGGCTTCTGGGGAGAAAATGCCTGCCATCCAGCCATCCGTACAGTGCCAAGGGAGCGCTGTCAGCACGCAATCTCTTCCAGCGTGCCAAGTGTGGTCTGCAGGGGGACTGTCACAGTGTGGCTGATGGGATCAGAATGGTTGGGCAAGGGTTCACACGTGCTCTGCAGAAGGAGACAGAGAAGCTGGTATAGCGCAGTGGCCGCTGGAGAGTAAGCAGAGACCAAATCTCACCTCTGCACAGAAATCACTAAGTGGCCTTGGGCAACCCTTCTTCTTCCAGTCTCAGCTCTTCGTCGGCAATATGGGCCTCCCTTCCAGGGATATTGTAAAGACTATGGCAATAATGTATGCAAAGCACTGTGAAATATGCTATATAAATGTTAGCTGTTACTAGCATTACTGCTTGGGGGCTGGGTGTGTGTGGGAGAATGCCTTTCTGGCACCTAGAGCTAAAACAGGTCAGAAAAATGAACACTTGAGGGATGTACACATACTCAGCTTGAAATGTAAACTGAAGAGCTCAAAAAGTCTGTAGGGTTGCACCTCGTTTTTCTGATTCAGACTCATGAGATTCCATACCTGTGCTGCAGATTTCAGAATCCTGAATACAGAAACAAATCTAGTGGAAAGGCTTGTGGGAACCATGTGATATAAAGGAGATTATATTAATTATTTGGGCAAAACTATATTAATATTGTGACACAATCCAGCCAAAGTTTAAAACGCTCAAGTCCTATTTATTTCAACAGGGGAATTAAGCACACCCTTTTAATTCATCCCACTGAAATCCATGCAGTGTGAAAGAATTTAACTCTAAGATTATAATCCAGCTGAACACACACACACACTTGTGACTTCTGTCATTTGTACTTCAAAGCATGACACTCTGAAATTGGAAAGAGTGCTTTTGATATGTGCCTTTTTTGTAGTGTCAGCTTTTGAAAACTAAATTTCTTTATTATTTTGAAAACAGTAATTGGGCAATACACCTAAACACACAAGGGTATAAAACTTATTGAGCTCAGCAGGAATTACTTCTGTATAAAGATGTTGAGGGTCCTGCTCTAAATCAGACAACATGAACTGAATTGTTTGTTACATTTTAAATGTACACTTGAACACACACACACACGGGAGGCCCGCGGGGGGAGAGCATGAGAGATGTATGACATGATCCAATTAACCACTGAGCAGCACAACCCAATGCATGTTTGCTCAGAAGTAAACAATGTTACTGAGACTTACTCTCAGGTAATTCTGTTTGGGATCTCAATTATAAAGCTTCTTTGTTTTCAGGGGATGCCAATTTGAGAATGTGGTTCACTGGCCATAAGGACTGATGGAATTTGCAAGTGCATTTCTGTGGCCGATGTCCACGTAATATTTGTTTAGCCCAGACTTACTCAGCCCGGTGCCCCCCAGATGTGTTGGATTACAACTCCCACTATTTAGCTGGCTGGGGGTCTCTGGGAGCTGTAGTCCAAGCCACCCAGAGGAAAACACATTGAAGAGAGCTGGTAAGCTACTAGTCCCTGCTTCAAGACTCTGGAATAGTGCATGACATAAAATCCACATTCATGTGTTTTGCTACCTTATGTGCTTGTTTGTTACCAGATCAGATTATTCTGATTGGCAAGAAGAGGAAAATGCAAGAATATTAAACAGCAATCCTATTGTGAAGGGGAATGGAATATGGCAACCGTCTGTTTCAAAACCTCGCTCTCACTGTGGCCAGGGAGGGAGCATCAAGGAAAGCTGTATCTGCTCTGTTCTTCTCCTGTTCCCTTTTTAATTTTTCTATTCCCCTTCTTATTGGCTCCAATGGAAGGGAAGTAACTGTGTGAGCTCCAGGGCAGCTGAGGGTGTTTGGAGGGGGAGAGGTGTCTTGGAGGAAGAAGAGGGCTCTAGATCGATGGTGCCCCAATCAATCCCCAGCATATGCTGTTGTTCCCCATGGTGTTGGCAAAAAACCTCCTCCAGACAGCTTTTGGATTGCAACCTATGCAAATCCTGGGCTCTGATTGGCACCTGGAGGCCTCTTCATCCCATCTGTCCTTTGTCAGAGTATTTTATGAATGGACTCAAATCAAGCTTCATACAACTGTGGCTAACAACTATGTTGCCTTTGGTGCATCATATGGATGCAACTGTTTTTAATCACAAAAGCCCCACAGATTCCCTGAAGTTTTTGCTCTTTTTCACTACTCCCGAGCAGCATGACAGCGAAGTTTGAAATTTCCCATCAGGGCCATAAAATTTTGTTGATAAGCTACAGACTTTTTTCATTTTACCAAAGGGAAAACATCTATTTCTTTTCCTATGCACCTTCATGTTCTCTGCTCTAAAATGTCTCTTTGTAACTGCAAATCTTTTGTATAAGGCATTGTTCTAACCCAACCAAATTTTATAGCACCTTAGAGACCACAAATTTATTCCAGCATAAGCTTTTGTTGGTTAGATCCAACTTCATCAGGTGTATGAAATGATCACTGAAGTTGGACAGACTTCAGGCTTATGGGATCTACTTTATTTTTTCAATAGAACCTCTGAGATCTACCAGATCAGGCCTGGTGCAAATGATATATGTAAGGAATTAGGAGCCCAGGAATTGGTTTTGAGTACCAGAACTGAACTGAGCTCGGCCCACTTGGGCTAACCCCAAGCTCTCTTCTTTCAGCAGGGCTGGACCTGAGAGTCATTTTGTTGCTGTCATTGTTGGACAACTAAAGGCAGAAAGCCTTGCTTATCTACTGTAAATTGCTCAAAGATCTATGATCTACATCTAGTTCTGTCTTGTGTCCATCCTTGATTTAAGCAGCTGTGTACCCAAGCTCTGTCCCATTTAAGATGCAATCCTATTGCCCATCGACATTGTACAGGAAGGCTTAACACTTTTCAGTCCCAGACTCTACAATCTTGGAGTGGAGACTCCAAAGACTGAGCTCCAGCCCTGCCCCTTGCGGCTGCTGCAGAAAAAAAATTGCCGGCTGAACCCCACCTTGAGGTTGCAGCTGGGCCACAGAGGAGGAAAAGGGGGCAGTGAGAGGCTAGGGCCTGTGGGGTTCTGGCAATTCCAATCACTGGGGTGATGACCCAGCCTCCTCCCCTCTCTTTTCCCAGCACTAAATCAAGGCAACCAGGAAAGACCATCTACAGAGGCCTGGTGTGAGATGCAGCAAAATGGAGATGGTCAGGCATAGGATGTATGTAAACCTATGGCAAGAGATTAAATGGAAAATGTCCTACAACTTCCAGCATGGGGAGTCCTGAAAGTTTCTTTTGCATAAACATGCCTGCTTCTGCCCTTAATCTGCAAAAGACCTTCTGTATGATGCCCCTTTCCTAAAGCTCCAGCTGAGTTTAATTTCTGCCATAGTTCCATTCCCCAACTTGCTTATGATGCCAGGAACATTAAAAAGTCATAGAAAAAAGGAGAGCACTTTGGAAGACATGAAGTACACATTTCATGCATACCACTGAAAAATTAAAAGCTCTCCACCCACACCTATGATTTGATTGCTAGCTTCAAGTTCAGCGGATAGCCTTGCTTTCAGGCAGATCACAGTGAGTTCTTGCACCTTTAGAAAAAAGACATTTCAGTGTGCTCCACTTCCCTTAGCTGAATTCCAAGAAGCCTCTATGGGGATTATGATCAGAACTCCTTAGCTAGAAGGCTCAGACTTAAACCCTTTTTCCAGTGTTAGGACTCAATCCTTTGAGCATGTACAAATTGCCGTTCCCTCTATATTGGGATAACTGCAAGAAGCCCCTATACATCTGGGATTAGGGGAAAGAAGGTATGACTAAAAAACTTGAGCCCAAATGCTTCTCAGTGCAGAAATTGTGTTCCCCAAGTCCTTCCTCACCTTGCAGAGTAACACACTATCCCGTTTGGAATGGTTCTTGTTCTTTAGGCTTTATGCCTATTTCAGGCATCCTGACTACTTACCACATTCTCATCGTGGCTTCCTTCCTCTTCCTCCTGGCCAAGTAGGTCTAACAATTTCTCCTTGATCAGCTAAAAGAAATGGAAGCAAGTGTGAGGCAATCGGTCCCACAAGATTTTTGGTGCAGCTCAACCACTGAACAGGGCCTGCTTGCTTTACATTAGGAAAACAATGTATTTTGCTTTTCTCAGAGCTGTTCAGGGAACTGAAACCATGCCACCAGACCACAACAAACCCTGCTAAGTTCTCCTTGCACTCTTGCATCTCTCCTGGCTTTGTCCACACAGTTTTAACCTCTTCTTTGATACCTTAAGGGCTAGAATCTTGCTTCTTCAAACAAACACACACACTCTGAGATTTAATCTTAATCCAGTTCATTCTCCCATCTCTGTTGCAAATGTCATGGGGGTGGTTTTAGGCAGCCCACTGTTTTTTTAGCTCCAGTCCACCTTCTAGAAAAATGGGTGCAATCATCCTGACCTACGCAGAGGGCTCCCAGAGACAAATGAGATGGGTGGCAGACCCATCTATAGAACTGGCTCTCTGATGTTGGGGAAGGTCGCAGTTTAAAGTGCAGCCTGGGTTTCTGGGGAGAGCTGAATCCTCCCCATCTGTGTTGTCCCGTTTCCTGCTTTGGATTTTTTCTTTTAATGGGTCTATGTCAGTGGATAGAAGAGCAGGTGGCAGCAGGCAAGGAAAGTTTAGCTTCTCTTTTCCATGCAGCATTTTACACCTCCCTCCATTATCTAGAACAGGGGTAGGCAACCTGTATGACTCTCCATGTGTTTTGACTTAGAACTCCCATCAGCCCCAGCCAGTGATGGTGAAACTAACAGAAGTCACAGGCCAAACCATCTGCAGAACCACAAGTTGCTCATCCCTGTTACAGAAGGAACCAGCAGGGCCCACACTGGATCCTGCACCCATCACATCTTGTCAAACCTGCCCAAATGCCTTACAACAGCAAACCTCTAAGATAGGTAAAATTACTGTCCTCAGTGTGCAGAGGCTGCTGAAAGGTACTGGCTTGTCTAAGGCCACAGAATGAAGCTATGAGTGAGGTAAGATTTGGACTGGTCACAGCAGATATCATGTGCCACTATAGCACACCCCTCAAGGGACATGCAATTCAGCCCAATCTGAGCTTGCTGAAGTTCTCAGAATTCCATCTCAACACTTGTTCCGACTCAAGTCTGTATCAGATTATAAACTTCGGGGGGGGGGGGGGTTATTTTTTGCGTAAACATTTGTCCCTATTTTTGTGTGCATTCTTCCAAATGTAGATATCCACTGTACACATTGTTGAGATATATGCATTCTTCTCCCTGACTGAAGCATATCTGTGTATATATATCAAAAGTATGCATTTTCTCCCATGCTTTTTTAAAATGTACACCTGCTATAGTTTTTCGTTCACGAATTATACTGCAAGCCTGGAAATGTATGGACTCTGACCACAGATCATGACTAATTCAGTGTTCCGTCTGGAAGGTGCAGACTGCATAAATTCTGATCAAAAGCAAACAGAAACACATTTCTCATACATCCCCACACTGCATTTCCAGCACTCTGGGCTCACATTACCCTTTCTTTCCCTTTGAAGCAGAGAATGGACTTTGACTTAGATAGCGTAGCAAGGCCTGCTATCCCCCCAGATTACCCCAAAACTGTTGTTAAGGGTGGGTCTGCCCTACCACCTGCTCAAGCAGCAGCCCCTCTTCCGGTGTGGAAAGGCTGCTCACCGATACAAGCTCTAAGATGCTATGTGCACTCATCCTGAATGCCCAATTCTGAGCACGTGTGCCAGGAAAGAGAGGGCCTGGATATGTCTGGTGGCATTTAGAGAGGCCACCAGGGATGGGAGTTGGCATCATTTCACTGAAACCCGCAATGGGTGCCTGAGGTGGACGGAGATCAGTGGCCACATTAACCCCATTGCTCAGCGCTGTCAATACTGTGCAACTTGGAATACTTCTGCGGGGAGCAACAGTGGCATCAGGACCACATTTCAAAAATAAGACACAGTCGGAAGCCATGTGAATTGGCTCTACTGTTTAGAAATTACAAATAGGAGAAGAAGTGGAAAGAGGGAGAGAGAGGAAAATATTCCCTCATCCCTCGAAGGGTCACAGTTTATGAGTTCTCCATACAAATCCGTGATGGATTTGGCAGTGAGAAAGATTTCTCCTCCAAAATTGTGGCTGCACCAGCCATGTAATCTGAAAAGTTATTATTTTCTTGTTTAGTTTTACAGAGAATCCAGCAGACAAACCTTAAATTAGCTATTTAATTTGGAACGGGTATTATTCTCTTTTTCTGCATGTTCCTTGGATTGGATCCAAACTTAGCCAAACTTACAGCAGACCCACTGAAATCAATGGTATCAAAATTAGTTATGAAGAATCTAAATTATATTGATATTAATAGGTCTACACTATGTATAACTAAGTCTGGATCCAAATCTTACTTTGTTTACAGACCAGATTTGTGGCAATTATGTTTGAATTGCAGTGCTGGCCTGCCTAGCATGGACTAGTAGAGTATTACTTGAGCTTCTGTCCCAAGACTTCCTCCTTGTCACTTTCTTTTAAAGCAATTTCTAGCACTTTAATTAGCTCTTTCCTGTACAGTTGCATGGTTGGAATTCCTTCAATGGCCAGTTCATCCTCTCAGCTAAGTGAAAGTTATTAGTTTCCTTTTTTGGAACCAGAACATAATGGTCCCCTGGTTAAATGCAAGGCCCATACTGTGGTCAATGAAACAGAGCTTGTGCATGGTAGTGGTTATTTACACAGATGCATGCATGGCACCTCCTTGACTTCAGGCTCTGAAACTCAATTAATCTGAAAGAAATCACAAAATTTGGAGAGCTTGCATGGTATGGTTAATGTTAGATTGGGGAACAACTGAGTTCTAGTCCTCTCTCTGCCATGAAGGTCCCTGGTTGACTTTGGGCCAGGCATGGACTTGCAGCTTGATCTACCTCACAGAGTTGTTGAGAGGATAAGATGGAGAGCAGGAAGATCCTGTAAGCTGTCTTGGATTCCATGTGAGAGAAAAAAAGGCAGGGTATAGAAGAAGTAATAATGAAGAATCAATAAAGTTTAATCACATCCCATTTTGAGCCAACAGAGAGAACAGCTTGAAGTCTGCCAGGATCACTGAGGAGAGAGAAGGCAAGAAAGAGCCTGCCATAGTCACTGGCATAAGTGTGGAAGTACTGGGGAGAATGCAGGCCCAAGAAACAGGCTGGTTCTACTTCTCATGTCTCGGTCTATCCCCAAAATGCCTTCTGAAGAGCGAGACCTGCTTCTTCTGGAGCATCTAGTCAGCAAGTGCCGAACTCAAGAGCAGGCATGCAGCCGAGCTTCTGAGCTAAGCGGTTCTGACAGAACTGGCACACAGCAAAGGCAGCTGGGCAGGGCCTCTTTTAAAATGGAGGAGCCACGTCCTCTGCAACGTTCATGTACCCCTTTAATCTCCACTTAGCTCTTTGTGTTTAAAGTCCATTAATGTGCTATGCACACTGTCTGCTTTCTGTCTCTATCAGCCAGGTACCCGCTTCTGTGAAGTACAGAATGGTGAAGGCCAACTCAAGGTTGTAGTTCAAGAAGTAAAAGGTAAGATTTTTGTCAGAACTGCCACAAGGAAGGAAAGGGTTGCTCTTGCCCTTTACATTTGTTGCAATCCTTATAGTTTTCCCATCTCCAATACCAGCATGCGCTCTTTGCATTAAAAAACCGGCAACATAGATGTTAAAGGTGCATTTAATGCCATACCTAATTTGTCCCCAGGTTTGGGGAAAAAAAAACAGGTAAGGGCACAGTCTAATGCACGTTTAGACAGAAATCAGTCGTACCCCTCCAAGTATTCTTTGCTGATTGGAAAATGCTAGAAGTTGTAGTTTTCTATTAAAACATAAGTATGATTGTGCCCAGAGTTGAAATTCTGGAGGTGGCACGGATGTGCATGCATTTGGGTAGGCCTTAATTTCAAAATCAGCTCTACTGTTCTGCAGCCCAGATATATTATCAATTCTCTTTGTTGCACCCAATTTTAAAACCAAGGCTTCCTACCTTCCAAAGTGTTTGGGGGTTTTAAGGCAAAAACACTGTTAACATGGGTGTGTATATTGTGTTTCACAATCTCAAAATCTGCATTCATGAAGTTGCAAGAGTTCAGAAGTGATCATTTCAAAGGCATTTGTTGTGGAAACATAAGGTTGAATTGTCCAGGTGATGGGGATTTGCAGGGACTGGAAATGTTCATAAAACCTGGGGCTAGGAGAGGCTCTGCATGGCAAGAGGTTTACAGGACAAGTACAACAGTAGACCAATAGAAAGGAAGAAAACGAGTTCAAGGAGAACATTGCTTTTAATATGTACATCTTTGACCTTCTTTCAACGGAAAACATGGAAAGAAGCTACACAACGAAAACAAAACACATACAGGTCGCCTGCAGGCCTTGAGAAACCCCACCCTCCTTGGCAGAGGAACTGATGGCTGATGGGACCAGAAAGGAAAGCGTTCTTAGCAACTGGACCAAAAAGGGCAAAGGATGGGTCCTTTCCATTATTGGGGCAAGCAGCACACAGAATGACCAGCCACTGAGAAAGGTAACTCACCACAATACAGAAATGGCCAGAACTTACCTCATAGATATAGTCAAATATTTCCAGAATGGTGAGGATACTAGCACCAATAAAAAGGCCCATCTGACCTCCAATATCACCTGGGGAAGAAAAGGGGGAAATAATGGAAAAGAATATTTTATTCATGTATGTTGGGTGCACCCAGAAATAGGTATCTTGGGTGGTGAGGCCAGCCTTGTAAACAAGTCCACAAAGTGTGCAGCATGTAACATTTAATAGCCTGCTGCAAGTTTCTGGGCTGGCTCTGGAAGAAGGGAAGTACCCTCAGCAGCAACACCCATGGAAATACAAGCTGTTAGCCATTTAGCAGCCTAGAAAAAGGAGGCTTCCCATCAAATGGTCTGACAGAGGAGGGATGGAGCAACCCCAGTGTCATCCACCGACCCGCCTCCATCTGGTGCTGGTTATGGAGGAAAGGACTGTCCTTCCTCTGAAGTGGAAATGAAGCAGGCTAGAAGTTCTACATGCCTCTACCACCACACCTCTCACCTGGTCACCTATGACTATGAGGTCAACTAAATAACCTTGTGGATCTGCAATCTCCACTCTTTGGTGAGATGTTGATTCTGCCTCAGAGAACCGAGCTCCAGGGCAATGGGGTTTCCAGCAAACATGGTGCCCAGCATGGACTGCTAGCCCTTGCAAAAACACAAGGACACTTTCTGCGCACCCAGCCCCCTACCTGCAGCAACGTTTGAACTTACAAAAAGCACTCCAAATGGCTTTGAAAATTATTATTAAAGGGTGTTGATTAAAGAATTTAGTCAGATTAATATGTCAGGCGCCAGACATCTGTTCTCCTTAAAAGCCCAAAGCCAGCTGTAAGCATGGCATGCTTGTGAAGCCTGGTTGAGGCAGAGCAAATCCTGCAGTGGGAGGGAGGGAGGGAGGACAGAGAAGAGAAGAGAAGAGAAGAGAAGAGAAGAGAAGAGAAGAGAAGAGAAGAGCAGCAACCTGCACTTCTGTGGGGGAAGGAGCTATGCCTTCAAAACATAACCAATGAACTGCACACAGCTCCAGTGTGGGAGGTTTAAGCCTGGACTCTAAAACCATCATTTGTGTTTTTTCCAAAATACATTTCTTGGATGGCCACATGTACCCAGACTTGGGAAAAATGAGGAAAACCATTTACAATTTATTTGTTACATTTTTATCCATTCTTTCATCCAATGGGCTGCATATGGTCCTCTTCCTCTCCATGTTATCTCACAACAATCCTGTGAGATAGAAAATCAGGTGGAGATTCAGTGGCTAGTCCAAAGTCATCTAGTGAGCTTCATGGCCAGGTGGGGACCAGAACCCCTGTCTCCTGAATTCCAGTCCCAACCTTCTAATCACTAAATCATTTTAACTGGATTCACATGACACCACAAGCCAGGATGGCTTATAAATTACAGTCAACGGTTGCATCATGCAAACGTAATGTAAAAGTCACTCAGTATGGTTAGTTTGATCCATGACAGCCCATCATATCATCAGATGACACATCCCATCATGGGTCAAGCCCTTCTGCATATGAGCCTCTGGGCAAGAAACCCTTGCTGGATAAACACCGCATACAGCTGCCTCCAAAGGGCCAGGCAGCACTTGGGGGTGGCTGTCCCAAGCAGGCGCTGGTAGTGACACCATCTGGAGTGTGCAGCGGTGTCTCTGGCAGGGATCACAGCTTCCCTGCCCCACGCTGCCACTGCAAGCCCTCCTGATGGTGGCTCAGATCAGGGCTCTGCTGCCCCTTTTGGCCCTGCAGCAGCAGCAGCAGCAGCACAGGGTGGACATTTCTCCGGCTGTCTGTCCTGAGGGAATGATCACCGCTCACCTGCCTTGCCTTGCTGCCACAAGCTGCTGCCGTCAGGTGGCAAGTCAACAGCAGCAATCGCTCTCCCCCTCTCCCCCTCTGCAAGGCCTTTTGGCTTGCAGCAGAGTCCAAGGAAGAGTGCTGCCTCAATTTCCTCCTCACCTTTTGGGGTCTCTAGAGCAGTGGCAGGAGGGGAAACTTAGTGCTCTTGCAGAACTGAAGATGGAATGAGGAGAAAGAGGGACCGTATTCATAATGTCTGTTGGGGATGCTGGGTAGGATGGTTTATAAGCACACTGCTGGCTCACTGGATGATACTTATCCCCTAGAAAGAATACCCAGGATTCTGTCCTAAGGCGCTCTGCCCGACTTCTCCAGTTCGGGGATTCTTAGAAAATTTCAGTCTGTACTCCAGAGCATTTGGAAAGAGACTCCCCTAATTTTGAGCTGTTCTTGAACTTCATACATCCTCTTGATGCTACAACCTACCTCCCTGCTTTTATGTCCTCACCCACTTGATTTCCTTCCTATTTGTGCAACGTTCGAATAGCTCACTTCTGCTAACTTTGATTCAAGTTCCCGCAGAACCTCCATGAAGCAGCTACAAGTGAATACATTACAGAATACATTAGGGGATTTATCCTCTTTTCCCTGCACAAGTATCACAGCTGATCTCTACACAAACTGTTAAGAATCTCTCTGCCTATTGTTCTGAAACGAAAAGGCTAGTATCTCCATGACTACGGGTTATATGCTTAAATGCTGTTTACAAGGCCTTGGGACAAACAAACAGAAATGAAGCTCACCTTCTTTCATCTAAACAACAGACAGCAGCTCAATTCTGATTTTGACAAGCCAGGCAAGCTAGGACTTTTTCAAAGCAGTGGATGGAAAGCTAAACCCCTGGAAACTATATGTATTTGGGGCGGGGGGGTGGGGTCACTGAAGCCACTGATCTGCAGTAGAGAGGAACTAATGAGCATGGATACATTGTCATTCAAATTATTCAACCCTGCTTGACTTTTTCAGTATTTGCAAAGATAGGCACAACCTGATTTTGGGTGCCATCTAAACTCAAGCTCTGCCAGCTAAGAAACTACGGGACTTGAGCAGAAGCCCCATTACAGGGAGAAGATGCCAGATATGCTGTCCCTATGAGAGAGATGCCCAGAAAACACCCTAGATACATATAAAATGACTGAAATGGGTCAGAATTGTTGACACAGTCGTGCCACATCTTATACTTCAGGGGAGGCAATCTATATATAGCTATATAATACCCCCCTTTTGCCACCTGCTCGCTGCCAAATTTCAGTGGCACACCATTGATTCTTCCCTTTAGAAAGGGCTTCCCCCCGCTTTGTATGTGGAGGCCCTGCCAAAATGGCCAGGGGGACTGAATACGGTTCACAGGCTGTGTGTTGCCCGCTCCTGCTGTAGTCCTTCAATCCTTGGCCATCCCACACTGATGGTCCCAGATCTGGCGCATGACATTTTCCTCACATGGGCCTCAACAGGGGAGGGGAAGGGTTTGTTTGTTTCTTTAAGGCGACTGCAGCGGCCCTTATGTGGACAACCATCCCACCCATTTTCTGACAACAGAGCTCAGAATATGACATATTCTATGGCTGGGAAATACAGGATTTCCACAGAGCACCAGGTTGGTGAAGGGGGTTCTGCTCCTGCTGCTACCTGTGGGTTTCCTGTTGCTGCATGGTCTTTTTCCTTTTCATTTTGGGCAATAAAGATGATTTGTAAAAGGAGAGAATGAATTCTTTTAGAAGCCAGGTGTATCTTGAAGTTGAATGCAATGACTCCTTTTGGCTTTCATGGGTCTCTTTCAACCTTACAACACTCCTTTGAAATATACGTAGTTGTTTCTAATCAGGTGTTGCTTACTTGAATGTCTAGTTTCTTACCAGAGGTCTGACATATCATAACGAGACTGGCATTTGCACAGCAAACAACACTGTCGCATTATACTAAATAAGCCTGTTGATCTCTAAGAAATGTGAATATACACCGATTTTGAAGTTTTTCTTTAATCTTTGCATTGCGATGAAGAATTCTATCACAGATGCAGCATATACAACTAAACACAGGGAGCATTTAAAGTCTATAAATGTTGCATATTGTTCCTTAAATTTCCCTGAAGGACCTACATGTGGTCCAAAAGGCACAGGAGCTCTTTTCTTTTGCTGAATAAAACATCTTTTTCCCTTCCTCTTTGCTTTTGATATTCCTTGTGGGGGTTCCCCTTTTCACTGGCTCTTTTGCTTCTGGCCTTTCTGTGATTCTACCAAGCTGACTGGAGCTGCAACCCTATCAGTCCCAAACTGCAAACTATCTTCTGTGAGTGCGTGCACACACACACACACACACACACACACACACCTCTATGGGATTTTTACTCACCAAGTAAAGCTGCCACTTCATATGCTTTCTTCTGCTCAATGGTCTCATAGTTGAGGGCTTCAAAGAATATATCTAGTACAAGGATATTCTCCCTAAGGAAAAAAAAGAGGCAGCCAAGAGGGGATCCAGAGGAAAGAGTTGCTTCCATTAAAACCAGTAAGCTGCTGTTCTGTTGCTGTTATTGCTGGTGTCTACTAGTGAGCACTAGGAAAACACCCCTCCAGCCACTTTCCGAGTGAGTGGCTGGAGGAATGTGTTATGTCTGAGAAGGGGTCAGGCCAGCCCTAGGCACAGAGATTCAGTAATCAGTGGGAAGAGTGTCAAGAGCCCTTATTGAGAATCCCCAAGGCACTGAGACTACAATCTGTGCTCCTGAGATGTTAGTCTACAATGTCTGTTATCCCTGACCATTGGTCCTGCCAACTGGAGACAACTGCCCAGAGTCTATGGGAATGGGACAGTACATAAATACTAAGATAATTAAAACAAACAAAAACAAAAAAAAATCTAGAAGGTGCCAAGTTGGGGAAGGCTACATTAGCCCAGGTTCTAGTATTATGAAAATGTCCACTTTTCCTGCATCATTAATTATTGTGCAAACTTGTATCATATCCCCTCTGCTAGTCTAGACCAGTACCCAGTTTGGGGCAATTTGGGTAGACAGGCAGTTCCTTGCATCCTGAAATCTGCAGGCTTGGAACCTGCCTTGGCTAAGCCTTGGAAGCCACCACATTCCTCAAAGGCCTTTCCATGGCTTACTTGGCAGAATGATTATTCTAGTACAGCTCAGACTGGCCTTACTTACGAAATGTATTTCTCTGATTTGTTAAACTTCTTCTCAAGGTACTTGGCTGAAGTCTTGCTGGGGATCTTGACCATGGAGAGTTCCTTGTTGTAGCGGGTCAGGTTGCATGGTGTCTGGCACACGCAGTAATTGCTGTCTTTTTCGCCGAGAACCACTGCAAGCAAAGTGGGAACGAGAAGGGTTATTGGGAGAACTAACTGCCTATATGGGTGGATGTAAGAACTGCTGGCTCAGGTTAAAAGTCCGGCTAGACCTGCACTCTAATGATTGTCTGGCTAGTTTTCCTTGAATGCCTTCACTTAGGGCATGGTTAAGATGGTCACTCTGGTCTCCTCACTCACTAAGGTATACCCAGAAGTTCTTATTGATTCCGGTCAGACAATTGCTGTGGATAGACTTATCCCTCATGTATTTGTCTGAAAAAAGGGTATCAAAGGCCCAGCTCATGACTTACAGTTGCACTGGACTAGCTGCCAAATGACCTCTGCCTCCCGTGATCCAAAAACTGTTTTTCTCAGTAGTATATGGAATCTCATGCTCAAGCTACACTTAATGCTCCCTTGTGCATGTTTATTGTAAAGACCCCTCTGTCTGCCCCAAATCCACTTGGGGAAGTCTGCTTAAACCTATCTTTTTCTGCCATTTAAATAAATGTTCTCAGTTGCTTTTCTCCACCGGTCTGGAGAAAGCAGCTGGGGTGGGGCAATGAGTTGGATCGTGACTTGCACAGAACAACTGACCTGCAGGCCCATCCCGTTCTTGCCGTGCTCTCCAGTCTCCTGCTGAGACTCTTGGGGTTCCCTCCAGGGTGCCTCCAAGCCCTGTCCTTTTGTGGAAGGATCCCCACTGTAGCCTCTGATCGTAACCATGAAGCAGCCCCTTTCCCATACTGGTGCCCTGCTCAGGACTGCAGTTTTCCACAGTAGTTTCTGCTGGTTTGGGTTTTATGAAGTCAAAATGTCAACAAGTTTGACATTTGACAAAATGTTTCAAGTTTTACTTCTGAAATCTGGCTGGGCAAAATGTCTAAAAATGAAGCCTTGCTGATTAATTTCAAGGTAATAATGCTTGCCTCCTGAAACCCAGCAGCAGCCATAGCTGGAAATATTAAAGAAAAAAATAAATTAGAACATGCACATGTAAAAATTTGCAAGCAAATCGGAATTAGAAATTGAAATGAGGATGGGCATGAGTTTTATTTGCAAAATTATTTCCACTCTTTGCAATAGCCACCACAAACTGCATTCCCTATGCTCTGAAAGCAGGTGATTTGTAGCTAAAACTTGCCTGGAAGCCATACTGTCTGCCCCAGAAGCCCTGCAGGCCCTTTTAATAATTGGTGTGAGGTGTCAGTGTTATGATTTGGGGGCTTTGCTGAGAGCAGTTTTGTAACTTTACATCAAGTCAGCCTCTGTAACGATCTTGCCTGGTGAAGAAAGAGATCTAGAGAACTTGAACTTGCACTTCTCTGGGAGCTTTGAGCTGACCTAATAAAGTTATTACCTTAATATGGATTTTGTATTTTTTCTTATGGTGATCTCCACTTTTTGTTCAAACAAAGAAAATCAGGCTCAGTGTTGGTTTTGTACTAAAAAGAATTACCAAGGGAAAAATCTTTAGATCCATTTCTCATGTTTATTGTAAATATAAACAATCAAGTATAATATTAAGATGCAACATATGTATGTGAAAATAATGGTTCCTGCATAATACAAAATGTTTAAGATGCACTTCTTAATAGCCTGAAAGGAAAGCTTTCAGCTAAAGACTTTAAGTACAGTTTTGACTGACTATCCCCAAAAATTCTAATAAAACTCTTGACCTAAAGCATTTCTTTTACAGCCCATCAATATTCTAGTAGCCCTTTCACCCAAGTAATAGGGTTCTACAATCCAACACTCGTTTTTAATAGACTTGATTCACACAACCATGTGACTCAAGTTAGTATATATTACACAGAATTCATTGTAAACCCACTTGTTTCTTCACTTGGCATTTCATAACTACCTACCTTAAATTACTTTCAAGGAGGTTAAGTTCTCAGTAGCCTTCTTAGCAATTCCAATAAAGTGAAATTAACTGTCTTCTTAAAATGCTTATCAATAGGTTATCATTGCTTGGTACTGAGCAAAAAGCACTCTGCACTTATTCAGAGGTGCTCTTCTTGTTTTGTTCAGAAATTCTAGGACACAGACCTTGCCACCATGCCTCTAGAGGGCTCCTGTCCCAAGCACCATGGAGCAGCTGCCTATGTTGAGGAGCACTGAGGCTGATCACAGGCATTCCTGTGCCCTCCAGGGAGAAAGCCTGAAGCTTCTGCTCAAGGCATGCCTAATCCCCTCCACCCCACTGATCCCTGAGTTCAGAGGTAAATGCAAGTGGCCACTTTGGGCTAGTAAATGCAGGCACTGAAAGGTTCAGGCTCAACTGGCTACCGGATGCAAGAATACCTGCCTCAAGAATAAGGACTTCCTGTGAGTAGAGATAACACCTGTGAGCCGTGCCCTTCTCACCAATAAACCATTCCTTAGGTGACCCTGACAGTCTGCAGAGCTGCTTGGAAGCTCTGTGCATCATTGTCCACGTTCTGGCTTTGCTTTGTTAAGGTGCTCCTCTTTGGACAGCCCTGCGCTTCGATTGCCCAACGAGCTTGCTTTTGGATTGGCCCTAGCAAAGTTTCTGGAGTTTTGCCCTCTGCCACTGAAGGAATGATGGGCTTGTTCCTCAAAACACTTGGTCTTTTTGAAGCATGATCCTGTCAAAAATTAAAACCTGAGAGATGGACGGTATTGACATCAAGATAATACTTTGTCCTTCAGTACTTACCTAGTGCAGGCTCGGCACACTCTTTATACTGCTCTGGTGTGCAGAAGGGAGCGTCTCCTGCATAAAAAGGAAATATAGCAGGTTGTTTTTAAATGCAAGCTTTGCAATGATGGATGTTTAGGAAATTAGTCCTTTCTTTAGGGGGATGAGAGTGGCATGCAAGACCGAGCAGTCGCAATAATAATCCATCTGCAAACTCAATGCCTGCTTCTGATCATCGGTCAGGATGCACAACTATGATTACAGACAACCAAATGAGATATCAAATGAACTGCATAATTCATACAAACTACTCTGAAGCACGTCCTATTGATTGCAACAGAACTTACTCCCAGGTAAATCTCTGTGGGATTGTGGCTATTGCAAAACTTGTAGATTTGCACCAAAAGGATAAAATCAGGTATATCTGACAAAAGTGGAGGACTTAGAGTTATAGAGAAGATGTACACTTTGAAATCTCTGAAGCTAGTGGCAACACTTTATTGAAATGAACCTACTCTCACCATAGGAGTTATTGAATATTTATGAACATCCCAGTTGATCTTAATAAGTTTTCAAAAAAAATTCTATCAACACCCTAAGCCTTGAAATCAGATGGAAGGTAGCACCATAACACTGGTGGGGTAGTGTGTAAATTGTATGTGTGTGTATGAAGATTTGTACACGGCTTGGTGGGAGACTGTAGCCCTCTCTGGGTGTTTGCCCAAATGCAGGATGGCTTCAAGTGAGTAAGCCAGACAGAGAAGACATGCAAAGCCTGCCATGCCTCCAGGCCTGCCAGCTTGTCCATAGGTGTGAAGGTTTCCAAACTGCATTTGGCCAAACATACTTGGCAGTGATCAGGAACCCTGCATGCCTGGGGACTGCAGAAGCACCCCTCTGCCTAGGGATGATGTGGGCGGAGCTTGCACACACAGCCCCGCCCCTACGCACTTTTAGCCCTTGCTTGTTCAGGCCTTACGAATTTATTCATGAAGGAATGAATGTGGGATGTGCACATTCGGTTTTAAAAAGCTGCAATAATACAGATAAAGTGTTCGGAGTACTTAATGTATACAACGTATACTTAATGTATATATATTTCAGTCATCCAAACTGTCTTATCTCAGTAACAAGACCTGATACAATTTCTCTGGGGAGCCTCAGTGGAAAGAAAAAGATTGATGAATGGAAGATGGCAGCAGAATGCAACTGCCTAGCGACTTCAGGTCACACTAATCAATTGCCTACGGCAGGGATGGAAACTGGAGTTGCTAAGTAACCACAAGGTGCTTCTTTCTCATGTATATTTGTCCTAGACCCTGGGTCATACCTGGCATGTGAACCATTCTGCAGTTGCAATTTTCCACCACATAGCGGGTCTCACAGTCAATTCTGCACGCGGTGATGCTGTAGATGGGAAAGAAGTCCAGGCCAAAGTCCGAAGAGCGGCACTCGCCCCACGGAGGCGGAAGGTATGTCAGCTGCAACAGTAAAGAAAGGCATTCCAATCAGCAAATGGCCAAAATGAAATGTACTCCTAAAATCTGGAAACCTTGGGTCTGGATTAAGGATCCCTCCTTCCTTTTTTCTCTGGTCGAATTCATTCCAGCACCATAGTATTGGTAAAATTCCTCAGTCCATACCAACCCTAAACCCATTTGTTTGTTCACTTAATATTTCTTACATTTAGATGGCCTAGGACCAAGGATAAAGCAATGACAATGACGGTGTGTGTTGGGTGGGCTTTACTGCAAGAATGACGAAGAGGTTCTTAAGGTTTAACAGGTAGTAAGTACAGTGAGCTTTCCCAGAGTCCAAAAGCCCGGATAGTTTTCTGAAGCCATTCCAAGGCCTTATGGCTTTCAGCTTGTTAGGAAGGGAATAAGAGATAATTGCCTTGGAGCTGCTTTCTGCAATCATTCTGTAGGTGAGGGCTGCCTTTGCTGTGAGAAGACATCTGTTTGCCTTACTGAAGCAGCTTCGTTTCCCCCTCTACCATCTCCCAGGAAGGGAGCAAAATGACAGACTCTGCAATAGTGGGAGAGAGGCACTGCCTTTTGCTTTCAGCCTGGGGAAGGAAACTGATGTGTCACTCACCTAGACAATTTTGGAGGCCTACAGAGCATCTTCTGGCTTATTCAGGGGACCAAGAAAGCCACAGAAAAGGGAAGTGTAAGCTTTCTTTTGCCTGTTTATATTCTGCATCCATATTTCATCACTGGATTCAGTAAACTGCATCTCATCTTTGACACGGGTGGCTTTGTTTCATCTTGAGAATTCTAAAGAAAGGTGCTTTGGCTGGACCAGGCCACCAGGGATTGATATGCCATGATAAAGCCAAGATGAAACCAGCATCGGAGAGAAAGCAATGCAGCACATGATAAAATCAAGTGTAGTATCAGCATCATGGATTAAAGAGAGCGAGAATCTAGAGAGGAATAAAACATCTCTGAAACGCCTGCAGTGGGAGGAAGTCCTCACTGAACTCAAAGTAGCAGTAATGTAGGTTCTGGGTGAGCCTCCCTGGGGATGACGTGTCAGAAAGAGAGGTTCCACTACTGAAAAGCCCCCCCCCCCCCCAGCAATCTCTCATTTCATTTGACAGTGGCACCGGAAGGAGGACCTCAGATGCTGACTTTAAGGGTCGGGTAAATAAATATGGGAGATGATAACCCTGAGAATAAACCCAGTTTTGAGCCATTCAGGATTGGAAAATTAAAATCAGGGCTTTGAATTGGCTCTGGAAATAAGCTAGCATCCAGTGCAGATAGTCAAGTATTGGCATCATGTGATCGTTATTGGTCAGTTCCCATTAACAGTATAGCTGTTAATCTGGTGTTAAATACTGCAAGTTTCCAGTACATATCAATATCCATGCCGTGTCATCTACACCAAGTAAAAATGGCCTCAAAGCAGCCAGGTTGGGGGTGGGGGGTTTGGGGGGTGGGATGGGAGGTCATTTTATGCTACCAACATGTCACAGCAAGTAGCATCACTATGGATGGACAGACTGGTTAGTACAACATTTTATGAGCTACTCACATTCATGGATTTAGTTGCAAGGCAGCAGTAAATTGCACATTTACTAGCCTTTTGGGTGAGGAATATACTGCACAAAAGCCCCCAAAACTATGAATATGATGATAAATATAAGATCACACTTTAACTGTAAAAGACAGAGCAGTGTTTCAAAATGGGTTTTAGAATAATTTTTACAGACTAACAGCATTTCATTTCCCTTTTGAGTCTCTTAGAGAATACATAATCTAACCATTTGACAGTGGGATCCTAAACGTGGAGGAAGATTATTTCCTATCACCTGAAGACAATTTTTAAGAGTTACATTCCCTCCAACCATTTGGTCTAAGTCTATTGATTTTTGTTACATAGCATTCCACCTAAACCTAATTTCTAGCTTTGCTAATATAAATGGTGCCATATTTTCTTTACTTTTCTGCCTAACGAAGTCTGTGTGTTTTTTTAAGGCTGTAGACAGATCCAGGTAACTGATGGACTTTATATTCCATATTTCAGAAATGGGGGATCAGCCACTGTGTATTTCCTTGTCCCAGTAATCCTAGAGACAATCTGAAACCTGCAAACACTCAGTACAGCCAAATCCAATTAGGCAGTGCCAATGTATACATGCCTAGCACAACTCTGTCCCACTAAGTTCGATGGGGCTTCCTCTAGGAAACTGAGGATGGAACTGCTGTCCTCCTGCACTACACTTAGGACTGAGAATAAAAGCAGACTTTGTGGCTCTGACATCATCAGGTTTTCTCCCCCATCCTATTTTTTTAGCATCTTGCCTGACAAATAATTCTGAAAAACTTGAAAGCTTGTTCGCTTTTTGTGACATTTTGGTTATTCCTAATGCCTGGCTGTGAGCTTAGAAACAGATGTTATTTATATAACATGATCCTGATAAATGAGAGAATAATATGTAATACGATCCTGGTAAGTTATTGCATTGAAATAGAACATGTATTTTGAGTAAAAGTTAGCAAAAGCAAACACAAACAAGAGGGTATTAAAGGGTAGAGCTAACCTTGGCACCAATTTGGATTCCAAGGTAAGGATTTCCATCCATTGATTTGAGTTGCAGTGTTCTCAGCCTCTTCCCAATTCTTTTAAGCACTGCAAGCGTGAGAGTTACTACTCCCCAACTTCTAAAATGCCACAGCAGCCGTGGAGGACTCCATGTACCAAAGTGGCTGTAACCAGCCCTCCCAGCAACATCTGGTTGGGGTAGCTGGACTGACCCAAGGGGTGGAGCTTGGAGCATTACTGGAGAGACTCTTCCAAAGGGACGAATCAAGACTTTATGACAGTGACAGAGTGCAATCGGAGGGCCTCCATGTCTCATTTGCATTCCTCCACCAAGATAATAGTGTGGCATCTGCCACCGTTTAGTCATCTGGAGAGGGGAGCAATACCCATATGTTGCAGGCGGTATGATAAAGGAGAATAAATAACTGTCAGCTCTGATGACCTCGGCGTCTGCTCCAACCCTGCTTCCACACAAATCTTTTAAGTTGTTTAAATTGTATTTGCAACGTAGGTGATGGGATCGGAAATGATGGCATGATCACACATTCGGTTTCAGCATTTCTAGCTTTGCCAGGCTTGGCTTTGTGCCATGCTGCTTCCGAGCCAACCTGGCGTCTGCGGGAAAGGCGCAGGCTGAATGCTTAATCACACCCTCCGTGATGCAACTTGATTGACAAAGACGGCAAAAGATGCTGCACATTTTAGGCCTGGAGTATGTAACTGTGGCTTCTTAGGCCACTGTCAGAGCCTGAAGTGAACCATGCACAGGCCACTGCTCTGCCGACCAGGCATTGGTAGAAGGCCAGGTTCCCTTTATTTATGCCTGCTGCGGGCAATCCAGAGGTGTCATACTGTCAGCCAATCACACTGCTCGATGTTGTGACTCCCCTCCCTTCCATGCTTGAAGAGGGTTCTGAGGCTTGAGCATACACAGTTCCAGGTAGCTTAGTCAGGATACGCCCCAACCCCAAACTGCACATGGTCTTATACCAGTGGCTTAGCAAGCAGGTCTCTGGGAACTTCTTTGTCAGCCTAAAGAGTTACCAATAGCAATATAGTCAAAAGGAGGTAAGAGCTTGTCTCTGCTGAATGCAGAAAAAAGGTGCTTTTTCCAGGGTGCAGCAGGCTGAAGCTCTTATCTCCAATCAGGTGCTGTTTTCCCTGTTGTGAAAGAGGGCAGACCTGGAGAAGGGAGCTGCAGGCTGGATGTCGGGAGACCTACCTGTGGGACCTATTCAGCCTCCAAGGTGGAGGTTCCCCATCTCTACTCTTAAAGCTGCTGACAGTCAAGAGAGACCCCACTCACTGGTGATGGAGGGGAAATGGTGGCTCAGGATTGCCTCCTTCAAAGTGAATTCCCATCGGGCCCTGTTGCTGAAAGATACTGCTCCTCCTTTTCTCCACACTTCTGCTTCTGAGATGACTCTGGGAGAAATGGAAATGTGGTAGCGCTTGGGAAACTGGATTTGATGCACCTTACAAGAGGCAGAGACGGGTGACATATTAGGAAGGGCTTCCTAAATTTAAGGACAGTTCAGCCATTGAAGAAGCTGCCTCAGAATAACCATCAGTAGATCACAGCAGGCTTATAAATAACAGCTACTTGTCTGGTCATCTGTGATAAAAATCAGTCTCAAGTGTCTGGGCAAGGAAATTTAGCAAAAAATAGGTTTATAGTCTTTTGTGTTGTATTCTAGAGTGCTTGGCCCATCCTTGCAGACTTTGTGTCTTTATTTACAAGTCTGTTTTACAGGGGGAGTAGATTTTACAGGATGCTTCTGAAGATGCATTTTAATAATGTTAAGAAGCAATAGCAGTAGCCACCTCAGATCAGGATCTCCTTTGTTACGCACGCAACTGCCTTAGGCCAACAGACCCAGTGGCCCCAGCTCGCACACTGAGTCCCAACTTGCTCATCACCACCTCTGCCTTGACCTCTCTCAGGGCCAGTTCAAGCAGCCCATGTCCCAACCTCTGGGAGTGTGCAGAACAATCAGCAATGGTGCCAGGGAGGCACTGATGGCAGGAACCAGCTCCTCTGCAAGGAGTGCTAGCCACATATGAGCATGGCTAGCTCCTTCTCAAAGTCTGCTCAAATCATGCAAGTCATATATATGTATGGTCTAATTTATATGAACAGTGCTTCTATACAAGCTCTGTTGGATTGTGTCAGGAACATGGGAAACTACATCACCATCACATTGCATTGAGATTTCGCCTTTCTTCCTCCTGAAAGGAACTCAAGGCCATTTACAAGTCCCCCCCCTCCCTTTTAGGTTAGGCTGAGAGGCACTAAATGGCCCCAAGTCATGCAGTGAGCTTTGTGGCCAAGAACCTGGACCTCTGGAGTCCCAGGTCAGCACTCTTAACCACTATGCAACCTTGGCTCCCTACACCTCCTCTCTGATAGTTTTTTCGTATGATTTTT